GAATGGTGAGTCTGGGGTTTTTCTCCTTTTTTTTCTTAAAGGGCCAGAGCCATGGTGGGCAGGACAGCCATGGTGAGGCTGGGGGTGTATCAGGGGGCTTGTGCAGAGCCCCCCATGCAGCATGGGGAAGTGGGGATCACACCTGGTGAGCACCAGGGCTTTTCTTTAATGGGCCAGGAGCTTGGATGGGTGGGGGGGCTGCTGGAATGGGCAGGGGCTGGGGCCTGGCAGGAGTCCCCCCATGGTCCCCTCCCCCAGCCTCCCATCCCTGCCCCCTACTTACCAGCTCTGAGTCTGTCCGCAGCTCCCTGCTGTAGCCATCAGGGACTGTCTGAATCATCGAAACTCTCTGAATCTTTTCTGAAGGTTCGGAGAGCTTTGAATTGATTCGGCTCTTTTAATTGGTCCCCTGATTCAATTCAGATTCAGAGATTTGGCCACCAAATCGGGTCAAATCTTCTCTGAATCGAATCACTACCTGAAGCTTTGCACTGCCCTAATGACTTGCACTAAGAATGATAATCCTGGAGTTAAAGCACTGTGTAGGTGAAAATAATCAGGCAGTGTAATTTCAATCAGGTGAGTCAAACCCTGTGTTTAAACTCTACATGAAAGGGACACGTTATCAGAATAGCTCAACACCCTGTTGTTCTCTGCCTGTAGCTTCTCTTGGAGAAAAAGGTGAGTTTTCACCTTGAGTTAATTTATGTGAATTAAAATCCTTGTGAAACCAAGACTTTTTTTTGTTTTTCATACACTATAGGTGGTTGAATGAAATGGCAGTGGGGATCACCCTATAGTGTGGATGATGGTCAGATTTCCCTGTGAGAACTATACTTGTCATAGAGATATTTCTACTGCCAAAATAAGTAATCAGATGCATTTTGGGGTTAGGAAAAGAAGAAAATTCTTCTTGCAGGCCATGCAAGAGGACTTACAGAGCTCCAGGCAATCTATACCCTTGCACATAGAAGTATGAGCTGCATATTACATACAATCCAGCATAACAGGCTTGTCAGCTTTAGCTCTCTGCAGCGGCACACAGTCATTTTACTACCAAGTGCCTGACCCCTGCATGAAGGTGCAGTGTAAATGAATGAGTCATTCTGAGGTTATAGCAAGTGTCTCCAATTAGGAGCAGAAAAGAAGTTAGAAGATACCTTTTAAAGTGAGGGGAAATAAAGGGCTGGGTGGATCATGAAGAAAACAGCCTGACGAGCTACTAAGGTGGGGGAGATAGCTAAGGATGGAGACTGGATTCTGTGTCTGGAGATATCAGTAAAGCCTGTCTCCAGGAAGAGGGAGGGGGTAGAAATTGAGATTTAGGCTGCATGTAGAGACCTCCTTAGTATTTCAGGGGATACCACAGACAGAACCTGCCTCCCATATAAGCTGCTATCTCTTTGGTATCCTGGCACCTCACAAATCATGAGTTCATTGTCACAAAACATGCCTGTGAGGAACATTATCCCCATTTCACAGATGGGGGATAATTGAAAGATAACAGATAGATTAAGTGATGTGCTGAGGGATGCACAGCAAGTCCCAGCTTAGTCACAAACTTAGATGCAGGTCTCACTGGGCTATAGTCTCATGACTTAACCACAAAACAACCATGCAGATTAGAGGAAACTCTGTGAAAATGTTTGACATTTTGCTTATAGGCACACCCAGAGACAGCATCTGCTTATAATACAGCGTGTATTACAAGCCAGCATTCTCTGTGAAGGCAAAGGAAATGTTTCCTCCCAGCTTTTATCACTAGGCACTAGCACAGGAAGTTGTTTTTTATTTTTAAAAGGAGTTGATCTGTTCCTGCTGCTTTCTCCCCACAGGAGGTTTCTCATTTTTTGTGGATTTTTCCCACCATAACCAATTGAAATGCCATGACCAAGGGATTATCATGACTTCAGGTGAGTTATAAACAGTGGGATATGGCAAGAAAACCTCAACAATGCTCTGTGCTCATGCCAGCACCTCTTGTAGTAAACATGGGAGGGATGAAAAATAGAAAGAACAGATTATACCAGACAGATCTGTCTCTAGCCAAATGTTATTCTGTGTTTTCCAGGTGGCCTCAGCAGGCCTTTTAATGAATATTTTTCTCCAAACAAACAACAGCAGCACAATCCAAAAGAATCATAATGCGCACACATTTCTGTACCCAGAAACTCAATCTATGATTTAATAGTTGTTGGATAGAAAGCAGAACAGTCACAGCATTTCTGTCCATCTGGTAGCCTATTGTATATATGCTCAGCCTAGGTGTGCACCATTACATATCCATGCTGCAGAAGGAATTAAATTACTACTTGTGTTTAAGTCTCAAAAACCCCACTTTGTTGTTGTAGGCAATCCCTGGATTTGAGGATGGTCTCTACCATGGCTCACTGATGAGTCTTGAAATGACCTAAGTGTCCAATCCTTGAGCCACAGACTCATCTCCAGAAATTGCAGGTCTTTCCACAGAGGAGAGTAGTCTGGGATTCCTCTCCTTTTCCTTCCTCCATTCTCTCTTTTCTGCTTCAAGGGGAAGACACTTTACCTGAAAATGGGCTACCATTGGGTTGAGGTTGCAGTGCCAGTAGAGTCAGTTAGTAGCCAGCTCCTCCCAGCTCCTGATGTCAGTTTTCTTGAGGTATGCCTTCAATGTGTCCTTATATCACTACCTCTGGGCATGACAGGAAAGCTGGGAGTAGAGCACTTGTTTTAGGAGTCGGGAGTTAGAAATCTGCACACAATATCTAGTCCAGTGAAGTTGCTGCTTGATGATTACTAACTCAGTGCTGGTAACATTGGCTTCAACAAGGATGCTGGTGTTTGTGCAGCAATCTTTCCATTTGACATGGAGGATTTTCCAGAAGCATTGTTGGTGATAGCTGTCCAGGCTCTTGAGATGATGACAGTAGGTCACCCATGTTTCACATCTGTAGAGGAGAGTGGGGATAAAGACTGCATTGTAGACGTAGATCTTGGTATCTTTCCAGCGATCACAATCGACAGAGAACAATGAAGCCATTTCTTAAAGGATGCACTTGCATACCAAAATCTGTGCTGGATTTCCTCATCAGTGTTCACTTTTCTGAGAGGTGACTACCGATGTAGTAGGCAAAGTGCTCAACTACCTTCAGGGTCTTTCCTCAATGGTAATTTTGGGGGGAGGGTGGTCACATTTATGGCCTGGAGCAGGCTGATAGAGGACTTTAGTCTTCTCAATATTAAGGGAGAGGCCTAAAGTTCAGTAGGCTTCTGTGAAGGGATCCAGAGCAGTCTGGAGGTTTTCCTCAGTGTGTGCAAGGATGGTGTAGTACTTATTTTGAGTACTTTGGTCATTGAACAAAAACATCCCAGAATGAAGGGCCCACCATCCATTTGGTATTCAATGACAATTCCAGAAGGAAGGTGGCCCTTAATGAGGACTAAGATGACTGTCAAAAAAAAAAATGGATAACAGAGTTGGGCTGATAAGGCATCCTTGTTTGATCCCAGTTTTGATGGCAAATTGATCTGTCTCTGATCTGCTACAAAGAATGGTTGCAGTCGTTTGGTTGTGGAGAAATCCCAGGACCTTGATGTACTTTTCAGGACATCGAAATCTGGTGAGCACTTTCCACAAGGCTTAGACCTGGCAGACAACAAAGAATTGCCCCATGGGATGGCCTGAAACAACACTGAGATTCTGGCAGGACTTCCACAGTAAGAGGTAGAAGATGGTTCAGGAGGATGCAGGTGAAGATTTTCTCTGCTGTGGAAAGAAGGGCAATACCTCAATAGTTCCTACACACAGACTTATCTTCTTTCTTGAAGACAGTCATGATGTTGGCATTTTGGTCCTCATGGATATCTTCATTGTTCCAAATTTGAAGAATAAATTTTGTGGAGTCTTAGTACCAGTTCCTTGCTGCTAGCCTTGAAGATTTCAGCAGGTACGCCATCCGGTATTATTGTGGTAGTAACCTTGTTGTTCTTGGTTTCCTTGATGGCATGCCAGACTTCAAGGATATGAGGGTTGGTGAGGGATCCCTTTTCAGGAGGCTGGGGAATAGACTCAATGGTAGCTTGTAGGGCTGTGCAAAGCTTTGGGTGCTGATTTGATTCAGA